TTAAATTAGACTTTTTGGGTCCTCTTCGCCATTAACTATTAAGTTGAATGAGTCAAGCTAGACAACGACATATATATGAGGCCGAACTCATCAATAAACAATTTGCCTTCAGTACATGCCATGTATGCCAAGACAAGGAAGCAATAATACATATAAATAAATCCCTATTCATTAAAAAAAAAAAAGGGTAGCAAAAACATTGACCGAGAGCCCTACTGCCCCCAAAAATATTGACAAGCACGGTCTGTATAATAATTGCAAAATTTTTAAATAAATAGTCACTTTGAAGAGTAATTCTTAACAACAAAGATAAAGAAAATAAGAAGAAAAACTAGGTGAACCATAACTAGTTTGTGAATTTTCTGATGTAATTAAAGTTTGTTGATCATATAATTAAGTTGCCAATGTTACCATCAACTTTTAAGAGTTAACTTACATACATTAAAGTTTAACATCTATTTTATTAATTATAACTATAATTCCTTGAAACCACATAAAATATTTTATGAGAGATGCATATTGCCTGCACGCAACTGCATCAACGTGTGCCTAAAAATGTTTGATAATACTGAGTTATATAAGAAAAGGACAAAATTATAGTGACAGATCCGCATAGTTTAGTACTCACGATTCTCTTGATCTCTCGACGATAATATTATAGTCCCATCCATCGGAGTTTTTCAAGTATAAATACTGGCAATAAGGTGAACTGATTGGGCAATAAATCAGAAGAAAATACGAAAAAAGAGGAAAGCACTAAAGAAAATGAATTTTGAAGTTGAAGTAATCTCTAGAGAAATGGTGAAACCTTCGTCTCCTACATCCCAACATCTTCTTCACTACAATCTCTCCTTCATCGACCAGATAACTCCCCAAATCAACAATTCTATGGTCTACTTCTTCAGTGCCGGTGACGTCAGAAACAAGTTTAACGTCAACGAAGCTTCCGATGTTCTCAAGAAATCGTTATCTCAGGTCTTAACTCATTTCTACCCACTCGCCGGAAGACTCAGAACCAACAACTTAGTCGTCGACTGCAACGACGAGGGTGTCCCTTACGTAGAAACCAGAGTCAGGTGTCACCTCAGCAACGTCATCGACAACCCCTCTCCGGCCGACGTCAGCAAACTTCTTCCCTACGACATGGATGAAATCGTCGACACAGTCCTCGGTGTCCAATTCAACGTCTTCGATTGCGGCGGAATAGCCGTCGGAGTATGCCTCTCCCACAAGATCGCCGACGCGCTGTCGTATTTCCAGTTCGTCAAGAGCTGGGCAGCCATGACACGAGGCGAACCAGAACAAATCAGATCCCACTTCCAATCTTCCTCACTCTTCCCGCCAAAAGACATGTCCTCAGGATCCGACCGGAGTTCTTCAACCCTCGGGAAGTACAAAATCCTGTGCAAGAGGTTCGTGTTTGAAGCTTCTGTAATAGAATCTCTGAGAACCAAATATTCCAAGATGATGGAGAACGTTCTAGAAGGCCACCAAAAACCCCATTCAAGAGTAGCAGCCTTATCAACTTTCCTCTGGACACGATTTATGGCGGCCACTGAGGAAGAAGAAGGGAACAAAAAGATTCACTTAGTGGGATTCACAGCGAATCTTCGCCCAAGAATGGATCCTCCATTACCAGAATATGCGTTCGGCAACTATTACTGGTATCTTCGAACTTCTCCGACGTTAGACGAACAAGGAGAGTGTAAGGATCTTGGAATACTGCTAAGAGAAGAGCTGAATAAGATCGACAAAGATTTTATTGTGAAGCTCCGAGAAAGCGGAGGATGGAACCCAGTAGAGAACAGAGAAGAGATTGTTAGAGCAATTGAGAAAGGAGAGACTGTTCTCTTAAGTTTCACATCATTGTGTAGGTTTCCAGTTTACGAGGTTGATTTTGGATGGGGAAATCCAACTTTGGCAGTACCACCTGCGTGGAAATTCAAGAATTTGGTATCTCTCAAAGATACCAAGTCAGATGGCGGCATTGAAGCTTATGTAAGCTTGACTGAGGATGACATGGCTAAATTTGAACGTGACGCGGAACTCCTTGCTCATATTTCAAATAAGCTCTCTTTGTAGGCTCATTTGGGCTGAACCGCAGAGCCCAAATTTTCGTAAAAATGCTCTTTCTTGTCCAAGCCCCATCCAAGGATTTGGGTGGTCCGTCATCGAAGGTATTAATTCACATGAAAATTGATGAAGTTTAAAATATTTACAATTTGACCCCAAAATTTTCCATTATTTATATTTATTTTCATCGAAACAATCAATAATTCACATCATGTCTACCAAACCAAATTTAGCCGAACATTGTCATCAAAATCACAAATAAACATGGGATAAAATACGCAAAAATTACTATTTATTATCCAATTATGCCTTGACTCATGCCGCTGATTGTGTTTATCTAGAACCCAAGAATGAAAGCTCGAAATTGACCATGAAACATTGTAAGTTCCCCTTTAGATCCCAATAAACTTTGGTAACACGTTAAGACCTTTAATTAAGGTTAAACATTTGGAATCTTACATCTTGACTTCGGGATAGATTATTGGTAGAGAGAAAATTATATAAATGGCACGAACAAAAATAGTCAGGTGTTGGCATGGGCTATAGGGATAAGATAACTACGTGTCACGAGCGCTTCTTTGGCACCCTGTGATAGTGTTTACTTCAATCCTGAATATGACAACTAGTTAGGGTGTTTACTTTAGTCTTATCTATAAATTTTCAATTCATTTGATCTCTTAAATTTAAAATTTTTTTTTCAAATTATTTCTGTTAATTACTTATATGTGTATATAGTGAGATTTTCGTAAATGAGGTAATGATTAAAGAGGTATATATAAGAAACTCTACACTTTAACATAAATAATTAACTTAACTAATTTTTTTAATATTTATAATTTAGTTATCTAGATGTTGTATATAAAATTGAATGGAGTACAGTATTTAAGATTATATATTAAAAGGGTATTTTCTTGTATGTGAATTATTAGGAATGTAGGGATATTTTACTCACGATCACCATATTGCCTCTGATCATAGATATGTCGGGGTTTGTTGTACGTTCACCTGTCAAAGAAAAATTAGAATTTTTTTTTGTTTACCAACCATATATAAAAGGTTTGTTATTTCATTATATAGCCATGCATGTTGTTGGCTTTCTCATGAATAAAGAATAAGCCATTAAAAGTTATTGTTATATTTCTATGTACATAATAATTTCATTTTCTAAACATCAAGCTGACTTTCTGTTCTAATATTAAATAAATAAAAAGCGACAAATAATTTTGAATTAAATTATACTTTTTGGGTCCTCTTCGCCATTAACTATTAAGTTGAATGAGTCAAGCTAGACAACGACATATATATGAGGCCGAACTCATCAACACACAATTTGCCTTCAGTACATGCCATGTATGCCAAGACAAGGAAGCAATAATACATATAAATAAATCCCTATTCATTAAAAAAAAAAAAAGAGTAGCAAAAAATTGACCGAGAGCCCTATATTGCCCCCAAAAATAATTGACAAACACAGTCTGTATAATAATTGAAAATTTTTAAATAGATATTCACTTGGAAGAGTAATTCTTAACAACAAAGATAAGGAAAATGAGAAGAAAAATTAGGTGAACCATAAGTAGTCTATGAATTTTATGATGCAATTGAAGTTGGTTGATCATATAATTAAGCTGCTAATGTTACCATCAACTCTTAAGAGTTAACTTACATACATTAAAATTTAACGTCTATTTTGTTAACTGTAACTATGGTTTCTTGAAACCGCATAAAATATCTTATCAGACGCATGTTGCTTGCACGCAACTGTAGCAACATGTGCCTAAAAATGTTTGATAATACTGGGTTATACTAGCTCTGGTTCTTAATATAAGAGCTCATTTAATTTTTATTTTGGTCTTAAATATAAGATCCTAATCCACTTTGTCTCTCATATTTATCTTATTTTTTTCAAAATAATGTTTGTAATAATGGTAATTTCAACCAATACACTTTATTAACAAGGATATTTTTTAAAAAATAATACCTATTTATTACAAATAACTAATTTAACTAATTTTCTTAATATAATCAAATTAGTCAACTAATTGTTATATTAAGAACCGGAGGAAAGTAATAAGTAAATGTTCCGCTGAAGACTACATAAGAAGAGGACAAAATTATAGTGAGAGATCCACATAGTTTAGTACCCACGATTTTCTTGATCTCTCCACGATAATATTCTCATCCAACGGGGTTTTACGAGTATAAATACTGGTAATAAGGTGAACTGATTGGGCAATAAATCAGAAGAAAACACGAAAAAAGAGAAAAGCACTAGAGAAGATGAGTGTTGAAGTTGAAATAATCTCTACAGAAACGGTAAAACCTTCGTCTCCTACATCCCAACATCTTCGTCACTACAATCTCTCCTTCATCGACCAGATAACTCCCCAAATCAACAATTCTATGGTCTACTTCTTCAGTGCCGATGACGTCAGAAACAAGTTTAACGTCAACAAAGCTTCCGATGTTCTCAAGAAATCGTTATCTCAGGTCTTAACTCATTTCTACCCACTCGCCGGAAGACTCAGAACCAACAACTTAGTCGTCGACTGCAACGACGAGGGTGTCCCTTACGTAGAAACCAGAGTCAGGTGCCACCTCAGCAACGTCATCGACAACCCCTCTCCGGCCGACGTCAGCAAACTTCTTCCCTACGACATGGATGAAATCGTCGACACAGTCCTCGGTGTCCAATTCAACGTCTTCGATTGCGGCGGAATAGCCGTCGGAGTATGCCTCTCCCACAAGATCGCCGACGCGCTGTCGTATTTCCAGTTCATCAAAAGCTGGGCAGCCATGACACGAGGCGAACCAGAACAAATCAGATCCCACTTCCAATCTTCCTCACTCTTCCCGCCAAAAGACATGTCATCGGGATCCGACCGGAGTTCTTCAACCCTCGGGAAGTACAAAATCCTGTGCAAGAGGTTCGTATTTGAAGCATCTGTAATAGAATCTCTGAGAACAAAATATTCCAAAATGATGGTGAACGTTCTAGAAGGCCACAAACAACCCCTTTCAAGAGTAGCAGCCTTATCAACTTTCCTCTGGACACGATTTATGGCGGCCACTGAGGAAGAAGAAGGGAGCAAAAAGATTCACTTAGTGGGATTCACAGCGAATCTTCGCCCAAGAATGGATCCTCCATTACCAGAATATGCGTTCGGCAACTATTCCTGGTATCTTCGAACTTCTCCGACGTTAGACGAACAAGGAGAGTGTAAGGACCTTGGAATACTGCTAAGAGAAGAGCTGAATAAGATCGACAAAGATTTTATTGTGAAGCTCCGAGAAAGCGGAGGATGGAACCTAGTAGAGAATAGAGAAGAGATTGTTAGAGCAATTGAGAAAGGAGAGACTGTTCTCTTAAGTTTCACATCATTGTGTAGGTTTCCAGTTTACGATGTTGATTTTGGATGGGGGAATCCAACTTTGGCAGTACCACCTGCGTGGAAATTCAAGAATTCGGTGTCTCTTAAAGATACCAAGTCAGATGGTGGCATTGAAGCCTATATCAGCTTGACCGAGGATGACATGGCTAAATTTGAACGTGACGTGGAACTCCTTGCTCATGTTTCTACCACGGGGTTGAAATAATGTTACACTATAATGTTATATTATCTCCGATCCTAATTATAAGACCTCGTTTGTAGTCTACAAACGATGTCTTATAATTAGAACCGGAGATAGTATATTTGTAGAGCTTAATTGGGTTCTCATTTTCCATTTATGCAAAGTGTATGTGTTCTTGTCAGCTGCCCACTACTCATCTGTCATTGAGAGCTTACCTGTTAATTTGTTGGTTGAAAGATATGGGTTTGTTTTAAGACTATAAAAGGCTACGTTTTGTTTCTTAAACAAAATGTTTACTTGTTTATTTGAAAAATCAATTTGTTTTTATAGGCCTGTAACGCAACTTGTTAATTTGCCGGTCACAAGTGGATATCATGTGGCGCCCAGCAGGTTATTATTTTAGCAAAGTCAAGATTGTAATTAAGTTGAGTCCAAAAAAAGATTGTAATTAAGTTATTTGATTACGTATAAAGTAAATATATAAGAGTAGTAGTTTTATCTAGTAAAATAAGATTAGTGACTTAATCTGCAATGTATCATAGACCACTATTCCTAAACTTGAGGGACCACTTAATCTAGAAATTTCTTTGGCAGTCTCTCTCCCATACAAGCATCTTCTTTTTATTTGAAAGCCACTTCATAATGCCATTCCTTCCTTTGATGTTCTAAGGTAACATCATCTCGATGTCTCAGGATCATGTCTTTTTGGATGTCAAAATGATGAAACTTTAAAACATCCCATGCCCTTATACGAAAGCAGTTTGGCTTGGATGCTTTTTAATTAACTTGTACAACATGTCTTTTGCTAATTTCAAGTGTTCGCTTATTAAGCTGATAATTGTTATTAATCTTACAAGGATGGAGAAACTTGGACGTTATTAAAAGGTATTATTATACTCACAACATGTTGTGGCTAAGTAGGAATCTAGCTTTACATGAAGGAAAAATCAAGCAGCCAACTTCAATTTTACAAGAAATAAAGGGTTTCATCGCTTTTTCAGACATTGCTTGTTCATGGGAATGCTCTCACAGGGATGTTGATATCCATAATCAAAGTATTACTAAAGCAGTAGTCTCGAGTATCAAAATGGTGGACAATTATTCTCTAAAAAAATAAAAAGCAAGAATAGGGACTTGCATTGCAATATTACAGTCTCCTTACATAGAGGGATATAGCATCAATTCCTCCTCTAGAAAGAGAGACACTAGTAGGACTTGTGTTCTGTAGCCAGTGTCTCAGAGCAATTCTTCTTTGGATAAATAGTTATGCACGTATCATCTGTTGGAGTTAAAGTGTTATAGTAATATGTTTACTTATTTATTGGAACAATGTGTGTGTGTTTTTTTGCTTATGGTGCAACTTGTTTGATTAGCTTACAAGTCAAATCTTCTATTGCACATTATTATTGCAGTTAATATCATCTTTAATCCATGAAATTTCAGCTTAATCATTTTAATTTTGGTTTCTGAAATTTGAAAACTAATGGTTTTGGTCTTTAAAACATTGTCTATTTTAAGAACAAAAAATCTTTAGGCAAACCAAAATGAAATCAAATTTTAGAAACTAAAACTACTGATTTCAAATTTTAGAAATCAAAATCAAAATGAGATCAAATTTTAGGGACTAAAGATAATATTAACCATTATTATGTTAGCAAAAACCTACGTCCAAAAGTTGTAATCAATCTAATACGATAAAGTATTAAAGAAAATCGGGATATTTGATGGCAAAAAGAATAAAAATCGGATACTTTGATTTTCTGTCTCAATGCAAATTGAGGATGGTTGTGGGAAATAAAATATTACTACAATAAAAGTAGAATATGCTTTTCCCCAAAAAAAAAAAAAAGGATAGGCAGATTTATTTTTATTAAAGAATACATATAGAGACCTCTTTTAAAAATTATACTATCTCCAGTTCTAATTATAAGAGCTAGTTGACTAATTTGAGGAAATTAAGGAAAGAAGCTAAGTTAGTTATTTATAATAAATAGGTGTTGTCTTTTCTAAAATATCCTTGCTAATCAAGTGTATTAGTTAGAACTACCATTATTAGAAGAACTACATTGGGAAAAAATATATAAATATGAGAGACAAAGTAGATTAGGGTCTTATATTTAGGACCAAAATAAAAATCAAATAAGGTCTTATATTAAGGACTGGAGGTAGTATTACTCGAACATCTCTTCTATTATTAAAATTATCTTTCCTGCGTAGGGATTTTTAAAGTGGCTGTTTCGTGATAGCAAAAGATTCTGAGAAGGAAGGACTTTCCATAAATATTCCAAGGAAAGAAGTAGCTATATATAGGAGGAAATGCAATGATCCAATGGGAAATTTCTAATTTTGAAGAAAAATATTTAAAATAAGTTGAAGAGCATGATGGTCTTTTTGAAAAAATAATTCGATTTTTGTATGATTTGACTGTTAATTAACTATCTATTGGTCTTCAAAACAATAACTCTAGATACTTTATAGTCATCAATATTGGTTCACAGAGGTCTTTTTAGTGAAATTTTACCTAAAATAAATGCTATCATTCCATCTATTAGCTTATTAAATGACTCTCGCAAGACAGGTATACGGCTAATTATATTCATTGTGGTGCGGAGAATCCATCAATGGACATATTTAATAATATCTTTGTCAAATACCTGTCTTCTATTTAAGATTCAAGAAACAAGACATTATCCCCATTGGAATTTGGATTTTTCAGGTTTAATTTGAACAGTATGAATTTAACTTTTTAATTTATTTTTAAAAAATTATTTTAATGCATACAAAATCTAAAATAATATAGATAATGTAATCTTATTAATAAATTGTTAGTTGAGATGGTAGACAGTCTCACTCCCATAAAAAGAAGAACAAAGTTTAAATCCTCATAAACACATTTGTTGAGACGACTTTAATCTTAGGGGGTGTTTGGAAGCACTTTTCCACAGAACAAGGCAAATTCCTCCATATATTTACTCCATACACCGTAAAAGCACCTTTAAAACCATGGTTTTAATCCATCTAATTAATTAGTCCCCAGGTTATTAGCACCAAAACTTTCTCCTCAAGGAAAATGCTCATCAATGCTATATATATGTGTAAGTCACCAAAGCGACCATCTCATTGTTTCCCCCCAAAAATTTTCCAAAAGATCCCGTCTTAATATGTACTGCACGCAACTTCGCTCTTGATCACATGTGGACTAAAAAACCATTACTAATATTGTTGATATTACACGAAAACTTCTTCTTCTTCTTTTTTTAATAGGAGGACAAATAATAGCGATGTATAAATAGTGATGATAGAGTAATGAATTGTTTGGGTGGGGCAATAATAAAGAGAAGCACGACAAAGAAAAATGAGGCCAGAAGTAGTGGAAGTAATCTCTGCACAAATCGTGAAACCTTCGTCTCCTACACCTCAACATCTTCGTCGCTATAATCTCTCCTTCCTCGACCAGATCACTCCCCAAGTCAACAATTCTATGGTCTACTTCTTCGATGCTGCTGCACAAAAATTCGACATCATCGACATCTCCGACCGCCTCAAGAGATCGCTATCTCAAGTCTTAACTCAGTATTACCCACTCGCAGGAAGACTCATGGCCAAGAACTTAACCGTAGAGTGCAACGACGAGGGTGTCCCATACACAGAAGCCAGAGTCCGGTGCCGCCTCAGCCACGTCATCGACGACCCTTCTCCGGCCGACGTTGGCGAACTACTTCCGTTTAAAATGGATGAAGCCGTTGACACAGTCCTAGGTGTTCAGTTTAATGTCTTTGAATGTGGCGGAATGGCCATTGGTATATGCATCTCCCACAAGATCGCCGATGCACTGTCTTACTTCCAGTTCGTGAAGAGCTGGGCCACCGTGACACGCGGCGGCAACCCGGAACACATCACGACCCACTTCGAATCATCCGCACTCTTCCCGCCAAAACACATGCCGGGATACGACCCGGATTGTCTCGTCCCGAAGGAAAAGATCGTGTGCAACAGATTCGTATTTGAAGCATCTGCAGTAGAATCTCTGAGATCAAAATACTCGGAGAAGGTGGCGAAGAACATTCTGGAAGGCCAGAAACCACCTTCAAGAGTTGAAGTATTGTCAACTTTCATATGGACGAGGTTTCTTGAAGCCACTAAGGGGGAAGAAGAAGAAGAAGAAGGAAGCAAAAAGAAAAAGATTCAGTTGGTGGCATGGGCAGCAAATCTACGACCAAGAATGGATCCTCCATTACCAGAATATGCGTTCGGCAACTATTACTGGCCGATGAGAACGTTTCCAACGTTAGACGAGAAAGGAGAATGTCATGATATGGGAAGGAAGTTAAGAGAAGAGTTAAATAAGATGGATAAGGGTTTTATTGCGAAGCTTCGAGAATGTGAACAGTGGAATCCTCAACAGAAGAAAGAAGAGATGGTTAGATCAACTGGTGGTGGGGAAGAAGGAGAGATTGCCGCGTTTGCTTTCTCTTCATTGTGTTGGTTTCCGGTATACGAGGTTGATTTTGGTTGGGGGAATCCGACGTGGGTGGGACCGCCAACGTGGAAATTTAAGAATGTGGTTACCTTCAAAGACACTAAGTCAAGCGGTGGCATTGAAGCTTATGTTAGCCTCACGGAGGAGGACATGGCTAAATTTGAACACGATGAGCAACTTCTCGCACATGTTTCTACTGCGGGGTTAAAATGATGTTTTACTTGCTCTGGATTTATCGTATGGCTTGGTTGTTTATTTTAGGGTTTACTGTACTATAGTCAATTGTCCACTTTCATTTGTCAACTATATAATAAGTTTCTTGATGATGGAAAGTCATAATCGGCTTTACTTTGTTTGGTACTAAGGAGTCAAAAGTCTAATCTCCCAAGAAAGTGTTATAAAATGTTTACTTGTTAATTTGAATCAATAATGTAATTTTGATTAGGAACTTGTTGGTAGAATGATTAGGTTACAAGAGTTTTTTTTTTGTACTACACACAGGTATTTTCCGGTTAAAAATAATCCTATTCGAAATACTGTTGAGCACAAAATATGAACATTTTTCTTAACAAGGATTTGAACTTTAGTTTGCTATTCTGTTAGACCCAATCCTTGTTGGTAACTTACGAGAGTTTTTTTCTTTTTTTGGGCTAGGGTAGCTTACAAGAGTTAATAAATTTGTCAAATACTACTCAAATCAACTAAATTATTTACTATGCTCTCTAATATGATAAAGCATTTTTAAAACGGATGTTAGCTTCATCATCTAACTTCTGATACTTGCTAGCTATTCTAGTTTGATTTGAAAACACATGAATTCTTTTATTTAGAAGATAGACACTAACAACTTAAAATTAAACCAAGAGATCATTGGTAGCTTGCACGCATTGTCTAAGCTCAATTTTCTTGTTTATAAAAAGTTTTCGATTGGTTTTATTCATAAAGAAAAAATTCAAAAGTTTAACCTTATAAGCTTAAACAAAGTAATTTAAAACGTTTACCGTAACAATTAGTAAATTTTCTGTCAGCGCATAACTTCTCGTTAGATTGATTATTAGTTCACAAAAGTCAGGAGTTACTTGTGCCCCTCACGCACGCTTCGTAAGTGGCTAGCTAAGACAAGTTATAACTTGTAAATGAAGGAGATATATATATATATATATGTGTGTGTGTGTGTGTGTATTAGATTTAATAAAATGAATGAGCAAGCCGGATTTTAATTTTATATTATACACACACAAATATGTTGTACTCTTCGTGTCATAAATGATGTAGCAACTAGTAAAGGGTGAATTTTACTACCACCTCTGGTGCTTAATACTACCTCTAGTTCTTAATATAAGAGCTAATTAATTAATTTAAGTATGTAGATTAAAAATTTTTATTATATTAGTTATTTATAATAAATATATGTTCTCTTTCCTAAAATATCCTTACTAATATGTGTATTAGCTAAAACTACTATTTGATGGAACGTTTAACATGTGCAACTACTGCAAGGACTACTTTGACAAAAAATAAATAAATATGAAAGACAAAATAGAATAGAGTCTTGTATTTAGGACCAAATTAAAAGTCAAACTAGCTCTTATATTAATGACTGAAGGTAGTATAACGTAAGAGCTAGTTGACCAATTTGAGTAAATTAAAAAAATTAGTTTAGTTATTTGTAATAAATAAGTATTGTCTTTTCAAAAATATTATTACTAATCAAATGTATTAATTAGAATTATCATTACTACAACAACTATATTAAAAAAAAAAGGGATAAATATAAGAAACGAAATAGCTTGGAATCTTATATTTAGAATCAAAACAGAAGTCAAATTAGTTTTTACATTAAGGACCAGAGATATTATTAAATGTAAGAAATTAATATATTTTATCTCTTGTATTTATTTTTTCTTTCAAACTAATTTATCAAACTCATAAATTGATATTCCCTCCGGTTTATAATATAAAAAGTTGATTATAAAAAATTTTGGTCTAAAATATAAAAGGTTGACAGGAATACAGGATAATTAATGATAGTTTTTTACTTTTAACCTTTGTTACAAGAAGGAGAGAGAATTTTAAATGTAAGAGAAATGAGAGTAAATCAAAAAGTAAAATAGGTAATTTTTATCAATTTGAAACAAATTTAATAACTTAACATTTAAAAATATCAAATCCTACCTACGCCACTTTCTAAAACGAATCCTCCCGTGGGAGCTCCAACACAGGTGACGGCTATGGCTTGATGACTTGCTGCCGCCGGGATCTTTCTGTTTGAACTTTAAAATTTCAATTTAGGTGTTGCACTTTTCTGAAATCATGTATGTGGGGGTTCCAATTCGAGCATTTCATATTTTCAAAGTTTTTTATTAGCCATTTTCCCAATTGTTAAGACCTAGAAAAATTGAGAAAAAAATATGAGACGTTATTTTGCATATTTGTAAGATTTACGAAGAGTTTTAAATCCTCAAAAGTGGTCTAAATTAAGGAGTATTCATCACCGAACTCAAAAATAGGTTTGGACTAAACATAGGCCCAAACTGCACTGCCCGTGACCAAAGAGATTAGGTTCAGATTGCCAATCGATAATGGGCCAATGGGATAGCAAAAGCAAGCTTATGAATAAGCTATTTTATGGACTAAAGGACCAAATGGATGGAGTCTAGTAAAAAAAAAAAAAAAGGAGTTTTTCATAATTTGAAAAATTAATATTCGAATTTCTATTAAAAATTATGTTCACATTTAGTACTTAACACTCAAACAAGATTGCCTTATAAATTTTTTTTTTTATTTTTAGAAGTTTTCCTTTTTAGTACTATTCCATCCCCTCTATTTTCCTTTAGTAACTTTTTTTTCTCCATCCAAAGATAGTTTAGATTTCACCTGGAGTAAGCCTTCTAGTCATCTCTCCTTCCCTTCTTTCTTCCATTTGCAGCGTTCTTGAGAATATGATAAGGTATATAAATACACACACACACACATATATGCGCATTATTTGCAAGTATATTGTTGATATTCTTAAACAAGTATTAACAAGGCAAAAATCATTCTTATAGAACAATTATATCATGATACTGGCATCATCCGTTATCGTTCCAATGACATATAACCATGCATCAACAAGACGGCCGGCAGAAAATATTATGTGTGTGCTTCAATTAATTATTGGGATTGTTAATAACACCAAACGTGTATTAACAAAAGTGATCGACCTAGACTTTATATATAAATTGAGTAATACTCCTCCGGTCCTTAATATAGGACCCAATTACTGAGTTTGTTTTGGTCCTAAATATAAAATCCATTTCTCATATTTATTAATTTTCTTTAAATTACCCCTATGGATACTCCATCAACCATAATCAAGTAGAAGATAGAGAGGGGTACTAAGAAAGATGATTATGGTATTTTAGGAAAAACATGTCACAATTTTTATAATTAACTAACTTACCTAACTTCCTTAATCTAATCAAATCAGTTAAATGGGTCCTATATTAAGGACCGGAGGAGTATAAACATAAAGGAATATCCTAAATAAGAGACGCCAGTAAGAAGAGCACAAAACTGTCTGTTTCGGCCAGCAGAAGAGAATTAAGAAAACAGCTAGACAGAAAAAACAAAACAGCTAGCTTATACTATAGGATTAATTCGTTAATAACTTGTTGCCAATGGATATCGATCTACCAGGATACATACCTGATCTAACTCGAATTATTTACAAATATTTCAATGATTTAAATTTTATTACCTTACACTTAATATAATAGCTAGTTGGAGATTCCGTTTTGTCCTAAATATAAGATTTCAGTCCACTTTATCTTCAATATTTATCCTAATGACAGACGATTGCATATATTAAGAAGTTTATATCAAAAGATATTTTCAATACACATAATTAGGATAAGGTATTTTAAGTAAGACAATATCTATTTTTTACAAATAACTAATTTAACTAATTTTTTAATATTTATAAATTAGTTATCTAACTCTTATATTAATCACAAAATACAGTATTAAATTTTGTTTAATTATCATTGTCTCTTTCTCTAGTTAATATCACAATTTTTTAGTTTTAAAAATGTGAGTCATCTGCGTTTAAACGCTTACCGGTCCCAAAGATGCAAGTTCTAGCGTGTCTTAATATAAATAGATACATGCACTAATGATAACCAGAAGCACTGAGAAAATGAAGATAGAAGTTGAAATAATCTCTAAGGAAATCGTAAAGCCTTGCTCTCCTACACCTCAACATCTTCGTCATTACCATCTCTCCTTCCTCGATCAGTTATGTCCGGAAGTCAACAATTCATGGGTCTATTTCTACGATACTCGCACTTCAAACCTAGGATGCATCGACGACGATGCTTCCGACCACCTCAAGAAATCATTATCTAAAGTCTTATCCGACTACTACCCACTCGCCGGAAAACTCATAGATAACAGTTTCGTAGACTGCAACGACGACGGCGTCCCTTACATAGAAACCAGAGTCAGGTGTCGCCTCAACCACGTCATCGAGAATCCCTCTCCGGCCGTCGTCAGCAAACTGCTTCCCTATGAAATGGATGAAGCCGTCGACACACTTCTCGGAGTCCAAGTCAACGCCTTCGATTGCTGCGGAATGGCCATCGGAGTAAGCATCTCCCACAAGGTTGCCGATGCGCTGTCGTATTTCCAGTTCGTCAAGAGCTGGGCCGCCGTAAGCCGTGGCGAACCAGAACAAAAAATCAGAACCCACTTCCAATCTTCCTCACTCTTCCCACCAAAAGACATGTCGGGATACAACCTTGAATTTCACATCGACAAAATCGTGTGCAGGAGGTTCAGTTTTGAAGCATCAGTGATAGAATCTCTGAGAGCAAAACATTCCGAAAAGATGAAGAACCTTCTTGATGATGAAGACAATCAAAAACCCCCTTCAAGAATAGAAGTACTGTCAACTTTCATATGGACAAGATTTCAGGAAGCCACTAAAGAAGAAGGAAGCAGGAAAATTCACTTAGTCGCATGGACAGTGGATCTCCGCCAAAGAATGGAGCCTCCATTACCAGAATATGCGTTTGGCAACTATGTGTGGTTGATTCGAACGTTTCCAACGTTAGACGAGAAAGGAGAGTGTAATGACCTTGGAATGAAGTTAAGAGAAGAACTAAATAAAATAGACCAGGATTTCATTGTGAAGCTTGGAGAAGGTGAAAATCAGTGGAAAGCTGATCAACAGAGAAGTAGCAGTGGTGATGGGGAAGAAATAGTGGCGTTTGCTTTCAGTTCGTTGTGCAGGTTTCCAGTGTACGAGGTTGATTTTGGATGGGGGAATCCGACGTGGGCAGGACCACCTACGTGGAAATTCAAGAACGCTGTTGTGTTTAAAGACGCCATATCTGGCGGTGGTATTGAAGCTTATGTGAGTCTCGCTGAGGAGGACATGACAAAATTAGAAAGTGACGAGG